TGAGTTCATCCACTGGATCCTGGTCAGCCTATCTAGTGCCACTCACTTAAAGAAGAACAACTTACCAGGCACATGCCTTTTAATCCTAGCATTCAGGAGGCAGAGGCACACAAATCTCGGTGAGATCAAGAGCAGCCTGGTCTACCTGGAAAGTTCCAGGCCTGCTGGAGCTACAAGGAGACTCCGTCTCAAAAAGACCAAAAAACAAAAAAATAAAAAACTCTCTCTTCCCCAGCAGTGATCAACTGCCAATAGCCCTTCTTCGCATGGGTCTTGTACTGCATGCCATCACCATTGCTGTAAGTTCATATTAGTAAGTTCTCAGAAGCCTGGAAAACTCATCCACCTCCCCTGGCCCTTACATTCTTTCCACCTTCTTCCCCCATGGTCCCTGAGCCCTGGGTGGATGAGGTTTAATATAGGAGTCCTATCCAGGGACATGCACTTTACAGTCTTTTATCTCTACAGCTTGGCCAGTTGTGGCTTTCTGTATTGATTGCCCTCTGTTGCATGAGGAAGTAATACTGGTGAGAGTTGAGAGATGCATAGTATTCATTCTACCCCCGTTCCACTATGTCCTATGATCCTTAGGTGTAGAGGTCTTTTGTAGATGTGTCACTTAGGACTGGATATCTCACAGACACTTATTCTCTGTGTGTGACCAGTTGCAGAGCTCTGTAATAGTCTCCATCTGTTGCAAAAAGAAGCTTTTTTGATGAGTGCTGACAGGTATAATTGTCTGTAAATATAAGGACTGGCACAGCAAACTATATTAGTGTAGTAGCGGCACTTCTATCTTGGGAATAATTATTCTATCTAATTGGACTTAAAGCCCATTCAATGTGACGAAACTCATTTGTACTGTAAACATAGTAAAATACATATGCCTGGAGAGGTCCTAGATCCTAGAGAAAACCCTAAGTCTGTCACATTCCTAGACAAACATAATTTCTTACTATATGCTAAATATGTACCCTTACATTATTCTTTTTTAAAGTTTTGGTTTGAGAATGTATTATATGCAACATATAATGTCTTTTGATCAAATTCATCCCCATTAACCTCCTCTCAAATTCCTCCTCATCCCCCTGCTACATTTCCCTCTCAAGTTCATATGCTATCTTTTTAACCAACTGAGTCTGCTTAGTTCTGCCTATACGTGCATTGTAGGACCATCTAATGGGGTATGGATAGCCTCTCAGGGACCCCATCGATGAAGAAAACTCCCCAGCAGCCATCAGTTCCCAATAGCTCCTCAGCTAGAGGTGGTATTTCATGAGCCTTTCCCCATCCATGTTAGGATTTTGTCTATTTGATCTTGTTCAGGTCTTGTGCTTGCAGTCACAGCTGCTGTTTGTTCATGTGTTCAACACTGTTGTCATTTCTGGAAAACACTGTTTCTCTACAGACAGCTACTCCCCCTGGCTCTTATAGCCTTTCTCTCTTCTCTTTCATGATGACCCCTGAGTCTTGGCAGGAGAGAATGTGATATAAATGTTCCACTTACAGCTAAACACTCCGCAGTGTCTTATTCTCTTCATGTTGACCATTTATGGGTCTCATTAATTGTTATCTACGTCAAAAAGAAGCATTCTCTGATGAGGGTTGAGAGACACACTAATATATGGGTATAAAATAATACTTTAGTGAACAGTTTATTACTATGTTCATTTAGCAGAATAATAGTATTAGGTTCTCCCATAGGGCCTATGACCTAGCCAGCCATTACTTTTTGGTCCAGTTAAAAGTACAAGGCAGGAATTCCATCCTGTGGAACAGGCTTTAAATCTAATCAGAAAGCGGTTGAATATTCCCATAACATTCATGTCATTATTACACCAGTGGGCATATTCACCAGGATAGTTCCTATTGTACCTCACAGGATTCACAGATGGGTGAGACTGATGGTTATTTTTCTTCCCCAGCCACATGCATATACCCTTCTAGCACTATGAAAGCTATCTGGTAGGGATGAAGCTTCCAGATCTGTACCAGCTTGATTTTTTCATGTACTATGACTCAAGTATATGGTATACATCGGCTATAGGAGCTTACCATTGAATTCTGAAGGTCAACCAAGAGCAATGGCAATAGCTTCTTACATTAAGGGGATTCCTTTGGGTCCAATGATGAATAACACAAAAAGAAATAACCTGTTTATGACACTGGGCTTTTTATTTGTTAACCTATGGTTTCTGGGAAAGACATTGTTGCTCCATTATATAACTCCATATGTGTGTGTGTTTAGAAGTTTCTGCAGTAGTAGCTTTCCATATATAGCATTTTCAAAGGTCTTTAGTGTTAGTTATCTCTCCCTATAGTCCCTCCTCTACCCCAGCTGTATTAGTTACTTTTTGTTGCTGTGATAAAATACTATGACCATAGCTGAGCAAGGTGGCACACGCTTTTAATCCCAGCACTCGGGAGGCAGAGGCAGGCAGATTTCTGTGAGTTTGAGGCTGGCCTGGTCTCCATTAGTGAATCCAGGCCAGCTGTGGCTACAGGGAAACCTCGTCTCAAAATGACCAAAAAAAAAAAAAAATACTATGACCAACAGAAAATTACGGAAGAGTTTATCTGGCTTATGATTCCAGAAGGGGAATCCATAATGGGAAGGAGGCATGCCAGATGGTGGCCCAACCAGAGCAGGAAGCTGAGAGATCACATTTCCAGCCACATGCAGGAAGCAGAGAGCATGAATTGGAAGTGGGCAAGGATATAAACCAGAAAGCCTGACCCCAGTGACATACCTCCTCCAGCAAGGCTCCCCCAAATAGCACCACCAACTGGGGATCAAATGTTCAAATACCTGAACCTATGGTAGACACTCTTCATTGAAACTACCATGCTACCCTTCAATCCTCCACTCCATTTAACCCTTCCTGCTCTCTTATTACCCCTTCCTTCCTCATACCATCTGCATTCTATCCCCTTTTCTCTAGAATCCCCCCAACCCCACCCACCCCATAGTCCCTTATAATAAATTAATATAACATGTAACTAGTAAGCTTCCTGACTCTTATGGGTGCCTACCCTAAATTAAGCACACATATTTTCTAAAGATTCAATGCTAGCCTCCAGGTATAAGAGACAACATATGGCATTTGTCTATTCTGGGTTCTTCACTCAGAATAATTATTTCCAGTTTAATTCAGTTATTTGTAAATTCATAATTTCATTTCTCTTTACAGATGAATAATATTCCATTGTATATATGAATCACATTTTCATTATCCATTTATCAGTTGATGGACATCTAGTCTATTTCTATTTTCTGGCTATTGTGAATGGAGCAGCATGAACATGGATAAGCTGGTATGTGTAGCAGGATATAGACTCTTTTGGGAATATGTCCAGGGGTGGTATGCCTGGATCATATGATTGATCTATTTCTAGCTTTTTAAGGAACCTCCACACTGATTTCCAGAGTGGCTGCACCAGTTTACACGTCCATCAGCAGTGAACAAGTATCCTCTTTCCCCACATCTGGGCCAGCATTTGTTGTCACTTTTTTTCTTTGATCTTAGCCATTCTGACTGGAGTAAGATGAACTCTCAAAGTAGTTCTAATTCATGTTCCTGATGAGAGCTAAGTATGTACTAAGCGCTGTGTGGGAGGTGGGAGCGCTCGAAGCCAGTGGCTTCTCTCTTCACATCACCCTCTCCTGCAGTTTTCAGGTTCTTCATGCTATGTTCAGCTTCTTTATTATCCCCTCTCTGTCCATACCTTTTTAACATTTATTTATTCTGTGTGTCTGTCTCTCTGTGTCTGTGTGTGCATGCACACGTGGAGGTCAGAGGACAACTCATGTCCTCAGGCTTAGCAACTTTACCCACTGAGCCATTTTTTTGAAGAAAATGTTCTTTAAACCACATGGAAAGCAACTTCTTTATAGATTTATTATTTACTTATTAAATTCACCTTCAGATCAATACTCACAGATCATTGGTTCTAGTTTATGATCACTGAATGAATCACTGGTGATTTTAAATTACTCCTTTAACAATCCACAGAACTATTAACATTGTCTTTATGGCTAAAAATCCAACTAATTTAAATTGCATTTATTTCCACGAGTCTATTTTTTGAAGGTCATCTTAACCCCTTGTCACTTGAGCCTCCCCTTAGAATACACTCTAACATGGTGTAGCTGTAACCTTGGAAAGCATATGCTTAAGTGCTAGTGGAAAACTTTGACTAACAGGTGCAGTTGAAGTAAATGCATCTGAGAGCTTCATTCTACTACACTAGTAATGGACTCCCTGAATCATAAGCATCTCCTTTCTCATTCCCATGCTCAGCATCCTGCTGGTGTCAGGAAATCACTGAGTGCTCACCTTCTTCTGTCTATCATGATTATTTCATTACTGTAGTAATGAACATTGAATTAACAGAAAACACTGTAACTAACTTTCATAGAGAAATTTTTAATATTTTTTATAAAACTAAGATTTCAGGGAATAAAATTTCTGTATTGCTTTTTCTCATACAAAATCATTTAGTTAAGAGATGATTTATCATGAATGTGATGTTTCCTGAGAATATCAAAATCAAGATTAATTTAGACTGACATAGCCAGACTGGGGGTGTAAAAGCTATCATAAGGCTGATACCTCCTAGCACTAAAAATAACTGCTGTGTGAAAAAGTATTCAACTTTTTATCTACATAACCCCTTTGGTGAGACAAGAATTTTGCAATACAATGTGTTATGTACTTGAAATAACTAACTTATTAATAATTTTTTAAAACATAGTGAGAAGAATAGCAAATAATCAGGAAAATTTAAATAATACATGAACGTTACCTGGAATTCTTCCAACATCAGCATTTATTAGCAATTCTGCTTTGATAAAGAAACCGTCAGCTCTGAGGCCAGACCAACTTAGATATGAATCCCAACTGTACCATTTATAACTCTGTGGTTTAGGACAGGTCACATAACCTATGTTAGTCATTTCAAAAATTACATATGAATAATAATTTCTACTTTTTGGACAGAGTCTTCAACATTATCAAGGAGGGACAACCCAGGCACAGCGTGATGGACACCTTGATTTGAGATGATGAGAGTCAGGGAAGACCAGGCCAGCTGGAGTCTAGAGTGCCCAGTCCTAGAGAGAAGAGCACGCCACAGAAGAGGAATTCCAGAGGTCTTCAGGGGCTCCTCCCTCTGCCTCAGCTGAGCCACAGTCAGTGCTGTATGTGAAAACTTCCTGATGCTGAGATAAAAATTATCTAGACACATTCAAAGAAACAATGATGAGTATAAGCAGCCTAGAAGTAAAAAGAAAACTCAGAATTCTCAGAACTGCTAAAAAAAAAATCAAGATCAAAGTCTATACTGCCTTCGAGGAACCTGTTTTAAATATACAAAACAGGTTGAAAATAAGAGAATGTAAATGACATACCACGTTGATACTGACTGAAAGAAAGCTGCAATGACTATGTTAATATAAGACAAAGTGGATATCAGTGCAAATAATATTGCCAAAGATAGAGATCATTTTGTAATGGTAAAGTTCTAATATGTCTTTTTATGAAATAGGGCATGACAATAATCCTAAATGTTTGTGCATCTACATAAGAGGGCTTCAAAACACATGGCTCAAAAAACGGATTGTTAAAAATAATGAACTCTAGAAGACAGCGGGAAGTGCTGTAGGGACAAAGAAAAAAACTGTGAAGTGAATATCCACTGAAAATATTATTCTAAAAAGAGGGTCAGAAAATATTTTTTATAATTCATTTTTTTCAATTTGTTGATTTTTTTGTGTGTATAACACACAGAACATCCCAAACCGTGCTATTCATCTATACACCCACTTCCCAGATGGCACCCTCCCTTAGCCTCCCTCCCTCCACTAGAGCCCTTATACTCTGTCATCCCTGCTACTGATAAAAATTTGTTGATTTTTTTGTGTCTATGTATATCACAGAACATCCCAAACCATCTCATTCAACTATACACCCACTTCCCTGATAGCACCCTCCCATAGCCTCCCTCCCCCAACTAGAGCCCTTATACTCTGTCATCCCTGCTACTGTTTTCTGTGTTGTCGGCACCCTGAGCTGTTCCCCACTACTTGTCCATCTGGTGAATCTAGTCATCTATCTAGAGGTCTTTCTTTTATGAGGGTCAGCTGTTCCTCATCTAGCAGTAATCAGTTGTCAATATTCCTTTAGAAAAGATTGGGGTCTGCTGTTCATTTTCCCAGCTCTATGCTGGGTTACTATCTGGGCGTACCTTTGGCCACCCTGGCCAACAACTCAAAAGAAGGTATTGCCTGTCTGGCATTGTTGCTTGTTATGTAGCCTTTAGCTATACACATGGACTCTTATGAAATTATATTGGCCCCTTTAATCTTTCGTTATACTTTCCTTTAGGGTGTTTAAGGCCATACAGTTGGCCCAGATAAACCAATTTATTTTTACTCTTAAGGTCATTTGAGGATCTGTTCCTCAGGGGTCACATGGGCTTGGGAGGTGCCCCTGGCTCCTTTCTTTTACCAGTTCCACCTATGTGAAGATAAGTCAAAGAAAATATATATTTTTTAATCTCTCTACTAAATTGCCTTCCCTGGTCTCTGAAATGAGCACTTTGAACCACCCTGCTTTCTCTTACGGTTCCTAACATTTGTTAACCTCATTTCAATCAATGATTTTTGTCTCATGTTTAGAATTAAAATTGACTGTATCAAATAAAAATTACTGGGGTGGTGAGTGGCTCAGCAGGTGAAGGCACTTGCTGCCAAGCCTGATATACTGAGTTCTATCCCCAGGACCCACATGGTGAAAGAAGAAAACCGACTCCTAGGAGTTGTCCTCTGACCTCCACACATAATGCATTGGTGGTGTCATCATACACACACACACACACACACACACACACACACACACACACACACATGTAAAATGTATAAAATAAAGAGAACGTGATTAAGACTTTTTGCAGGATTGAAAATATAAAAGAATGTGTCTGCTAGCAGACATGGACTATAATAAATGCTAAAGTAAGTTCTTTGGTTTGAAGAAAAAATATACTTAAGATCAAATCAGAACTACAGACAGGAATGAAAACCACCAAAAGTTGTAAATAAATTATTAAAATATGGTATTATATGCTTTTTCTTTATTAATTACCTTATGTTATATATGTTAAGCCTGATACAAAACACTGTATGGATAGTCACAGCATGTATATGTGAACACACTTACATTAAAGAGTAGGGATTAATTTACATATAATGAATCAAAGTTCCTAAATTTAGTTGAAGTAACTATGATTTGAATTCTTCTGCCCTTAGCCCCAAAGTTGGTATGCTGAGTTCTCATTCTAAGCTGATGGTTTTAGAGGGTAGGACCTTTGAGCAGTGGGCAGGTCATGGTTACAGAGCTTCCATGAATAGGAAAAATAATCAGTTCCAGTAACTGATAGAGCCAGTAAAGGAAAGGAGTTAGGGTGAGAAATACCCAAGTACTTTGTGAGCCTCTTAATCTATGCACATCCTTCTCAAACACCCATGATAACAGTACCAAGAAACTAAAACAGGACTACAAAGAAAATATCAATAATAATAATAAATATTATCATTGTACCTATGGATCAAAAAACAAATCATGAAGAAAAATTTGGCCAGGCGTGGTGGCGCATGCCTTTAATCCCAGCATTCAGGAGGCAGAGGCAGGTGGATCTCTGTGAGTTCAAAGCCAGCCTGGTCTATGTAGTGAGTTCCAGGACAGCTGGGGATACAGGGAGACCCTCTCTCAAAAGACCTCAAAATATAAAATAAAATAGAATAAGACATTTTTAAATGGATGATGTTTATAGCATCACACAAAGGGAAACATCATAAACAAATGAAATTGAAATTTTTTTACATTTGCAAACCAATCAATATAATTCACTATATCAACTATAACATGAAATACAGAAATATTATTTTCAAACACATATCTATTTATGACAAAACTTTTTAAAGCAGGAAATTTCTAGGATCTGACAAAGAGAGTCTACAAAAAGAAAGAAAAGACAAGTTATATCACACTAAGACATGGGACAATAAAATTTCACTTGCTTATATGACTTCTGACAAACATTGTGATGGAGGGCATCCATATGCATTTCTCCTTTCACCAGTGAGGAAAATCATGCCCAGAAACTCTCAACATCATTTCAACATTTGCCTTACATTGCATTGGCTGGATTTGGGTCACGTGCCCACATCTAGCCACAGGAATTTAGGAAAGTGAGCATCAGGTGTTTTCAGATTTTCTTACAGGCATCAAACTCTGCTACCTGGAAAGTAAAGAGCAGGAAAGGGCTACTGGGGGAGCAAAATACGTGCCATAGCTCCCCAGCAGCAGTCAACACTGAGTCTTCCCTCCACCCTCAAGGACTCATGGCCTATATTGTAATATCGACATTTTGCAGAATTAAAGAGAAAAAAAAAAACAAGGAAATGAATGCTCTTAAACCTCAAATGAAATTTGATGTATTTCATCATGCTGGTCTATATGTATTGGACACTTCTCTTTTGCTTCTCTCAATCCCTTTGCTGTTTGAGTGGTATTAGCTAACCCTTTGATTACAGCTTCTATACTATTTTTATTTTTAATGCCTTTCCATATAATGGTTAATATTGCTCTAATGAAGTCAAGCACCTGGTTCGAATTCTGGCTTTCCTACTTAAGAGTTGTATGGAATTTGCACATGTTATTTCATCTCTCTTCACTTCTTATAAAGGTGAAATCTGTCTCAAAGATGTATGAAGAGTAAATGATACAGAACTGTTTTGAATAGTGAGTATTCAGTAAACACAAGCTATCAGCATTATCATTCCAAATGAAGGCCAACAAATCCTTGGAGATTTTGTAACATAAAAGGAAAGACTGTGATTAGTACAACTCAAGTCGTCTTTGGAACCTGTGAATTAACGTGTTGGCTAAGAAACAGTCTTTATTCCTACGGTTCTTTTTAAGTTTCAAGGACTTTTCCTTAAATGTTCTATTATCTATCATTTCCAAACACTATCACTCTTTTTTTTTGCATGCTATTAAGGAGTTTCTAAGATGCCAGAGATGCCAGGGAGCAGTATTCCAGGCAGCGACGATCAGTATTCTTAGCTGAGGAGTGTAGTTTATGACTTCTTTATGGTGTTCTCAGAAAATTAACAAGGTGACTACATTAAAACATTTATGAGTCTGTTTACGCTCTGGCACGCCTGTTAGACTCTTATTTAATTTCCAAGGGGGATAATGATTGGAGGAAAGATTCCACATAAACAAAAAATGTGAGTGGTAAGAGAAACTGGTATATGTCTTAACAGAATGCAGATGTCCTGCACTCTGAAAACAATATCTCTGACCTTAATGTTTAAACTCAGGCATTTCTTAAATTACAAAATTTTGAAGTTAGAACATACCTCTCAGATTGTCTCACTAATTCCACATTTTATCAGTAGGGAGAAAATCTGAGACCAAGAGGAATTCGGTAATTTCCTCAAAAATTCATTTACTCAAAAACAGATCCCAAAACAAGACCAAGGGTCTTTTGACTCCAATTTTCTCTCCACTCTGCCAGCTTTCTCTGATGTTGAGTTCCTTTCCTTGAGTGATAGTTCCTAAACTTGAAGATGAATTTACTTTTCCAAGGCTCAAACAGGCTTTCATTCACAAATGTTTCCATTAATCATTAAAACTGTTGATTGAAACTTAAGGCAAATATTACCCTGTTTAAATTCTTTTCCATTTACCTAACAAGTCTTTTCTCTTGAAACTCAGAACCCTAAATTACTTACATGAGTTATAATAGACTGTCTCTAAAATTTATTAGTGCATAGCTAAAACATTAGTAAGTAACCAAAGAAGAAGCATTTGGGATTTGTATCAACAGTGATCTCTTTAAGGAGAACCAAAAGAAAATTTTTTTTGAAGAGTGTATGTTCAACTGCTCTGGTTCAACTGTACGCCAGAATAAGCCCTCTAAACTGAACCTTTCACTCAATAGCTTGATTATATTTTACATATGACAATAATGACTGGGGTTCTTTAGTCCAGAAAACCTTTTTAGCAAAATGTGTCTTTTTTGTTGTTTGTTTATTTGTTCGTTTGGTTTTTGGTCTTTTTGAGACAGGGTCTCCCTGTAGCCATAGCTGGCTTGGAACTCGCTATGTAGACCAGGTTGGCCTCGAGCTCACAGAGATCTGTCAGCCTCTGCCTCTCGAGTGCTGATACTAAAGGAGCAAAGTCAGACTACTAAAGAATGAAAATTTCTCAAAAGTGTATAGAATATATATTCGCAGAAAGAAAATATGATACATCCAATCAAGTAATAGGACAACACAAAAAAATCAACATCAGGCTCAATGTTCTTCACATATATAAGACACT